CTAGTCCTAGTGATCTACACTAACTAGTGATGCACTGAAATCTAAAAAAAATATAAATGAATTCTCGGTTTTGGCTGAAACTGTTTTGGAGGGACGAGATCATGACCGAAGCGGTGATGTTTAGTGTGTTAGTGCTCCTCTGATGGTGTTCTGAGTGTCAGTGTGTGTGTCGTGCACACAGTGGATAACCTCCAGTAACGCGTCCGCTGGTCGACAGTCTCTCGCTTCGATGTTCGCGGTGTGTGTGTGTGTCAAGTCAAGTCAAATATATTTATATAGTGCTTTTCACAATACAGATTGTATCAAAGCTGCTTCACAGTATCAATCAAAACAACTTAACAGTGTTTGTTTATTACTGGAAAAGACATCCAAGTTTGGTAGAGCTGATCAGTGGTATGATGGGTCATTTAATTTGAATATCCCCAACTGAGCAAGCCAAAGGCAACAGTGGCAAGGAACCGAAAAACTCCATCAAGTGACCCGATGGTGTCCTAAAACTCCATCAAGTGACCCGATGGTGTCCTAAAACTCCATCAAGTGACCCGATGGTGTCCTAAAACTCCATCAGATGACCCAATGGAGAAAAAAAAACCTTTGGGAGAACCCAGGCTCAGTCGGGGCCAGTTCTCCTCTGGCGTTTATGAAGTAGAGGCCGAATTTACAGTAACTGTAAGATAAAAAATGTATATGAATGCCTGACTAAATAGATGCGTCTTTAGTCTAGTTTTAAACTGGGAGAGCGAGTCTGAGCAACGAACAATATCAGGAAGGCTATTCCAGAGCTTCGGAGCTAAATGTGAAAATGCTCTCCCTCCTTTGGTGGATCTGGATATCCTAGGAATGACCAGAAGCCTCGAATTTAGTGATCTTAAAGAGCGCGATGGATTATAGGGCGATAGAAGATCCGGTAAATAGACTGGAGCTAAACCATTTAGAGCTTTATAAGTCAAAAGCAAGACCTTGTAATTGATACGGAACTTTATAGGTAACCAGTGAAGTGATGATAGAATCGGTGTTATATGATCATATTTTCTTGACCTAGTAAGAACTCTAGCGGCTGCATTTTGGACTAACTGTAGCTTGTTTATTGAGGATGCAGGACAACCAGCTAATAAAGCATTACAGTAATCTAGTCTCGAGGTCATGAATGCATTAACTAACTTTTCTGCATCAGAGACTGATAGCATATTACGTAGCTTAGCAATGTTTCTAAGGTGGAAAAGGGCTGTTCTTGTAACATATGAAATATGCTTTTCAAAAGACAGGTTGCAGTCTAATGTAACACCCAGGTCTTTTACAGTAGCGGATAAAGTAACAGGGCATCCTAATATGTTAAAGTCGTGCTGTGAAAGGTTTTGTGGACGGTTTTTAGAACCGATAAGTATTACCTCTGTCTTGTCTGGATTTAATAACTAAAGTTGCGCAGTTTCAGTGCTATGATGTGGCCTGAATCCAGACTGAAACTTTTCATAGATGTCGTTTTCTTGCAAGAAAGAGCCGAGTTGAGCGGACACAACTTTTTCTAATATTTTTGACATGAATGGAAGATTTGAGATGGGTCTGTAATTTGCTAGGTTATTTGGATCTAATTGTGATTTCTTAATAAGAGGTTTTATAACTGCCAGCTTGAACATGACCTAAAGATAGAGAGGTTTATTTAACTCTTTTTGTTCTATGGTTGTAAAGCATTGTAATTGTTCTTGCGGGGTGATAATTGTGGCTGAATTATAAGGCGCGAGCAAAGATTGAGCGTTTACGATTGTGTGTGTGTGTGTCGTGCACACAGTGGATAACCTCCAGTAACGCGTCCGCTGGTCGACAGTCTCTCGCTTCGATGTTCGCGGGGTGTGTGTGTGTGTGTGTGTGGATCCAGCGGCGCTCGGCATCACTGCTCCTTCCTCTTTATTCATCCTCCTTTCTAGCCTGGATGCCAGCCCGAACCCCGCCCACAACATTTTTTGATCGGGAAGTTCGGTCTGGACTCGCTCCATTGAGGAGTAATTATGATCGGTTCAGAAATCGTCGGGCCAATCAAATTGCCAGGGCGGGCTTTATACGATGATGGACAGATGATCTGCAGGGACGTAATCCTCACGTTATCAAAGAGCGCTTGGGTTGAACTGGTTTCCCTCACAGATGACTGCCGTTGGAGAACTGAGATGTAGAGATCCCGCTATTGCGTCTGTTGTAAAAGAAATCGACAGCGCATTCATTTTAAAAGACGAACATAGAACTGCAATCAAGGCATTTGTCGATCGGAAAGATGTGTTTGCCGTCCTTCCTACGGGATTCGGCAAAAGTTTAATTTATCAGCTGGCTCCGATGGTAACTAAGAAGATGGGACGCAATGAAAACCCTGTGGTCGTTGTGGTTTCTCCTTTGGTCGTACTCATAGAGGGCCAAGTAAAAGAAGCAACACTCGTTATTTTACTTCTTCCAGCGTGCGTGCATTTGAGTTCTGTAGTTGACAACTGTGCTATGCAAAGTAGTTGACTTACTGCGTTGCTCTCATTGGTTGTAGGTCTATCCAATTGAGTGCAGAGTTTGTTTTTTTCCTGGTTCGGTTAAGACACGCCTCATAATCACAGCCCTATGAAGCAGTATCAGACTCACATCTGACTAGAATATGAGTATGACGAAGTCAGGCTACCTCCTTTCCAGACTATTCACTTTATGTTTAGCAGCTGTTTTCCTTTGATTTTTTTTTCACATTTAATTTAATATTTCTTTTTTATTTTGTGATTTCTTTGTTTATTAAACATTTTACGTATATATATATATATACAACAGAGCCCAAGATCCGCCCACAATCATTCATTCAAGAATTCTATATCTAATAATTGTTTTGTACAGCACTTTGGTCGGTGAAAGCTGAATTTAAATGTGCTTTATAAATAAAACGTATTTGATTCATTTTGTTGAATCTTTTAGTCTACACTCTTAAAGGTTGTTTTTTTTCCACAGCGATGCCATACAAGAACCATTTCTGGTTCCTCAAAGAACCTTTCAGTTCTGAAAAGAACCATGTTTTCTTAGTGTGAAGAACCTTTAAAGTCCCCCTGTGGTGAAACTCCAGCGTTTAATGTTGTTTATGTGTCTATGTGGTGTTTAATCTGCTTTAAGACACACCATGTGTAAGTTCATAAGTCGACAGCATTGCTGAGTATTTCCTCCTTAAAACTGCAGTGAACCAAAGACAGTCTCAAAAACACGGTTTGAAATCGCTGGTGTTTCTGACGTCACAAACGACCTTGTAACCAATCAGATCAACGTGTGATCGTCAACCAGTGGATCTCTGAGCTGAGGGAGTGAGTGGAGGCGGGGCTCATCTGCATATTCGTAGAACCGTGTGTACTAAATGAGGCGAGGGTGTCAAGTTACATTCAAGATATTTTAAGGCATGAAGACATTTATTTTTCAAGGAAAAACGTTTAAATATGTAATTTTACTGATCAGAGGTGAGTTTTAAGGGATAAAATGATTGACTACGGGGGACTTTCATGGTTCCATAGATGTGAAATGTTCTTCATGGATCCATCGCTGCCAATAAAGAGCCTTTATTTTTAAGAGTGTTGCTCTTTTCTGTTGATGCGTGAACAAAACATCCCTAAACATGTGAAGCGATCCATCCAACAATAACAGCAAGCTTTGTGTTTTGTTACTTTTGATATGAGCTTTCAAATTCTATCAGTTTTCTAACTTTGAAGCTCTTTAAAGGCGACATATATCATAAAATCTGCCTTTCTCCGTGTGTAAGTGCTATAATCCGGTGCTTCTACCAACCCAGAACACATGACAAGTGAAACCCAGTAACTGTGTTCTGGTGAGCCTTTCTCTGAGATTATGTCAAACCATAAGCCGTCAGAAACGTGTAAAAATGAAGCTCTCCCTGAGTCTCTCCGTAAGGCTGCACTCGCTGCTGTTACTCCTGATTCTGGATCAGTGAGATCGGCCTGTGTTGTTATTGCCGGAGTCTCTGAAGCTCGTGTGAAGGCTCCGCCCTCTTCTGAACGGAGGCGGAGCTAAAGCTCATTTGCATTTAAAGGGACACACACAAAAAAGGCATGTTTTTGTTCACACACAAAAAGGGGCAAATTTGACAAGCTGTAGTAAATGGGGGTATTTTGAGCTGAAATGTCACAGGTCTGGGGACACCATAGATTTAAATTGCATCTTGTGAAAAGGGGCGTAATATGTCACCTTTAATATGGCAAATCCTCGGTTTCTGTGAACATCACTACCGCTAACCTTCCTCATGGTCTCTGTTTGCCTGTGTCCTCAGGCCGCTGCTCTGCCAGATCATGTCTGCGATCCTGTACCCTCGAGATGAGAAGCTGGAGAAGCTGTCGCAGGAGGAGATCATCTCCAACACCAAGCTGGTGATCCAGGGCCTGGAGGCGCTGAAGAACGAGCACAACTCAATCCTGCACAGCCTCCTGGAGACCATCAAGTGCCTGAAGAAGGACGAGGAGGCCAACGTGGTGCACGAGAAGTCCAGCCTGCTGCGCAAGTCTGTGGAGATGATCGAGCTGGGGCTGGGAGAGGCACAGGTGAGGGCAGGGGTCAGAGGTCAAGGGCTGGGAGAGGCACAGGTGAGGGCTGGGGTCAGAGGTCAGGGGCTGGGGTCAGAGGTCAGGGGCTGGGAGAGGCACAGGTGAGGGCTGGGGTCAGAGGTCAGGGGCTGGGAGAGGCACAGGTGAGGGCAGGGGTCAGAGGTCAGGGGCTGGGAGAGGCACAGGTGAGGGCTGGGGTCAGAGGTCAGGGGCTGGGGTCAGAGGTCAGGGGCTGGGAGAGGCACAGGTGAGGGCTGGGGTCAGAGGTCAGGGGCTGGGAGAGGCACAGGTGAGGGCTGAGGTCAGGGGCTGGGGTCAGAGGTCAGGGGCTGGGAGAGGCACAGGTGAGGGCTGGGGTCAGAGGTCAGGGGCTGGGGTCAGAGGTCAGGGGCTGGGAGAGGCACAGGTGAGGGCAGGGGTCAGAGGTCAAGGGCTGGGAGAGGCACAGGTGAGGGCTGGGGTCAGAGGTCAGGGGCTGGGGTCAGAGGTCAGGGGCTGGGAGAGGCACAGGTGAGGGCTGGGGTCAGAGGTCAGGGGCTGGGAGAGGCACAGGTGAGGGCTGGGGTCAGAGGTCAAGCGTTTCATTCACTCACTCTTAAAGGAGTAGTTCACTTCAGAATGAAAATTATACATTTTTTCACTCCCAGGTCATCCAAGATGTTCATGTCTTTCTTTCTTCCGTGGAAAAGAAATGAAGGTTTTTGAGGAACACACTCCAGGGTTTCTCCATATAGTGTCTTCAATGGGGTCCAACGGGTCGAAGGTCCAGATGTGAGTTTCAGTGCAGCTTCAAAGTCTCGACACGATCCAGCCGAGGAATAAGAGTCTGATCTAGACAAACCAGCCGACATTTATAACAAAATACACATTTATATACTTTTAACCACTAATGCTGGTCTTGCAGGTCCACGACTTCACGCATTACGTAATCAGGGTGAAAGGTGGCGGTAAATCTGATGTAGGATCGTGCGAAAAACTCCATCTCCTTTTCTCCTCCAACTCTCCTGCGACATCGTTGTTTTACCTTTCTTTTTTTCTTCTTTTTTTTAAAATTGTGTTTGATTTAGAGAGCGTTTTTATTAATGAAATCAAAGCTTTTTGAAAACGCTCTCCAAAGCAGATAAATGTGAGAGCGCAGTTCTCGTGTTGTAGTGTGGACTGTGAAAACTGAGGCATTTATAAACTATGACGTGAGTTTATTAAACCCATAGATATTGATGTTTATAGCGGTATTGTGCCTATGTTCACTTTCACACAGTTGCAGAAATCTGTAAGTTCACACACTCTCCACATCTCAGTCCTGCACAGATGACACACTCGCATCTGCTGTCCTGCAGTGAGACATGAGAACAGCTTCAGCGCTTTAGACCCAACACATAATGCTGAGTGAGAGCGCCCTGACCATCAGCGGATGAGGAGTTATTCTGATAAATACAGTGATCCTGCCAGAACAGCGTGATAACTTTATAACGTCTTGTTCCGTCTGTATCCTCTCAGAGCTTCTGTGAGGGGTTACGCATGCGCTGTAAAGGGGAATTTAGTGTTTTCAGGCGTTTTCCAAATGTTTCTCTGCCGCCCTGAAACGTCGGAAAATACCAGAAACCGCTAGTGGACGGAGAGCGTTTTTAAACAAAACGCCGTTTTTCAAATGTGTCTGGATTAATGTAGACGTACATTTAGTCTTTGCACGTTCGCTTTGTAAACACTGGGTCTTTTCTTCCTCCTACGTCACGCTTGACCTTTTAACCTGATTACCGGTGCGTAATGTGTGTCGCATCACAGCTAGAGCAAGACCAGCATTAGTGGTTAAAAGTATATAAATGTGTATTTAGTTATAAATGTCCGCTGGTTTGTCTAGATCAGACTCTTATTCCTCGGCTGGATCGTATCGAGACTTTGAAGCTGCACTGAAACTCACATCCGGACCTTCGACCCGTTGGACCCCATTGAAGACACTATATGGAGAAACCCTGGAGTGTGTTCCTCAAAAACCTTCATTTCTTCATGGTTCTGCTATAAAACAATAATGTCAGATATCAAAGAGTCAAAAAAACTATTTTGTACCGGTATCAGTTAGACTGTTGAACATGAATTAGTGAAGTCTATTTATTTTTATGTGTATGAATATTTTTTGTAATTTTTTTTATGTATCAGGTTTTGGCAAAATGCTGCCTATGGAGTCCATTACAAATTTCCCTATCGGGGACAATAAAGTATATTTAATTGAATTTCCTATGTCAGTCACATGCACTGAATCCGGATTCACACAGCCTTCAGAGAGTGAAGCAGTAGCCGTTTCTCAATGTCAAGGAAGGATCCTCGGAAGCCGGAATTTCGAGGATACTACGTCATCGACATCCGTCGAAGGACTGTTCCAATGTCGAGGATCCTCAGAATTTCAACCAAGGACTGAGTCCTTCGTTCGGAAAATATCCCATACACAGGAAAGGATGCATATGTGTAGACTTTGCGCTCTTCGCGCTCTCAAATCGCCCACAATCCTATGCGCGTAGCTTTGCTATCTTGTTAAAAAAATACACAAGTCGGACGTTAGCGGAGTCGGAGCAATAACGGGGCAATATGCTTTCAAATGTAAATATTTACGTTACCATACATTTGTTATAACCGTCATATAAGTAAAGTTTAACGTTTAAAATGCCAGTACAAATTACTACCGTATTGATATTACAAATTATACAAATATATACTAATTTAATACGTTATTGATGGGTAACTGAACTGGACCTGTCATTTTAACAATTGTTAGCTTGTTTGCCGTCACCGGCATTTATTTTATAAATAACTACTTAAGTTGTACAAAGTAATGTAACGTTAATATTATACCATTCAGAGCGTTATTCATAGCTTTCTCGTCTTTTTTAGCAGGGACCAACGGACCTTTTCACTGACGTAATGACGTGCACTTGCTAGCCTGTTCCATTTACGTGTTCTCCGAATGCTAAAGAGGAGCCTCGCCTAGCCTCTGAAGGAAATGACTTGGAAGGACGAGTCCTGCCAAGGAAGTATCCTTGACATTGAGAAACACCTAGTGTGAGTCTTGTTCTGTCTGAATGTGCAGGTGATGATGGCTCTGTCGAACCACCTGACGGCGGTGGAGTCTGAGAAGCAGAAGCTGCGAGCGCAGGTGCGTCGGCTCTGCCAGGAGAACCAGTGGCTTCGGGACGAGCTGGCCAACACCCAGCAGAAGCTGCAGAAGAGCGAGCAGAGCGTGGCACAGCTGGAGGAGGAGAAGAAACACCTGGAGTTCATGAACCAGCTCAAGAAGTACGACGAGGACGTGTCTCCCTCGGTGAGATGCTCATCACTGCCCAGGGCGAGGGAAGTTACTCAGAAAACGAATGCGTTACAATATTGCGTTACTCGCTTAAAAAGTAACTAAATGCGTTACTTACTTTTTTAGAAAACTAATGTTACGTTACTGTTGCGTTACTTGTTTTCCACCTGGGCTGGGCTTGTTTTTTACAGTAGAGTACAGTAGAGTACAGTAGAGTACAGTAGAATACAGTAGAGTACAGTAGTGTACAGTAGAGTACAGCACAGTAGAGTAGAGTAGAGTAGGGTAGAGTACAGTAGAGTACAGTAGAGTAGTATACAGTAGAGTACAGTAGAGTAGAGCACAGTACAGTAGAGTACAGCAGAGTGGAGTACAGCAGAGTGGAGTACAGTAGAGTAGAGTACAGTACAGTACGGTAGAGTACAGTAGAGTACAGTAGAGTAGAGTACAGCAGAGTGGAGTACAGTAGAGTAGAGTAGAGTAGAGTACAGTACGGTAGAGTACAGTAGAGTACAGTACAGTAGAGTACAGCAGAGTGGAGTACAGTAGAGTACAGTATAGTAGAGTACAGCACAGTAGAGTACGGTAGAGTAGAGTACAGTAGAGTAGAGTACAGTAGAGTACAGCACAGTAGAGTACGGTAGAGTAGAGTACAGTAGAGTAGAGTACAGTAGAGTACAGTACGGTAGAGTACAGTAGAGTACAGTACAGTAGAGTACAGCAGAGTGGAGTACAGTAGAGTACAGTACAGTAGAGTACAGCAGAGTGGAGTACAGTAGAGTGGTATACAGTAGAGTACAGTAGAGTAGTATACAGTAGAGTACAGTAGAGTAGAGCACAGTACAGTAGAGTACAGCAGAGTGGAGTACAGCAGAGTGGAGTACAGTAGAGTAGAGTACAGTACAGTACGGTAGAGTACAGTAGAGTACAGTAGAGTAGAGTACAGCAGAGTGGAGTACAGTAGAGTAGAGTAGAGTACAGTACGGTAGAGTACAGTAGAGTACAGTACAGTAGAGTACAGCAGAGTGGAGTACAGTAGAGTACAGTATAGTAGAGTACAGCACAGTAGAGTACGGTAGAGTAGAGTACAGTAGAGTAGAGTACAGTAGAGTACAGCACAGTAGAGTACGGTAGAGTAGAGTACAGTAGAGTAGAGTACAGTAGAGTACAGTACGGTAGAGTACAGTAGAGTACAGTACAGTAGAGTACAGCAGAGTGGAGTACAGTAGAGTACAGTACAGTAGAGTACAGCAGAGTGGAGTACAGTAGAGTGGTATACAGTAGAGTAGAGTAGAGTACAGCAGAGTGGAGTACAGTAGAGTACAGTAGAGTAGAGTAGAGTACAGTACGGTAGAGTACAGTAGAGTACAGTACAGTAGAGTACAGTAGAGTACAGCACAGTAGAGTAGAGCACAGTATAGTACAGTAGAGTACAGTAGAGTAGAGTACAGTACAGTAGAGTGGAGTACAGTAGAGTACAGTAGAGTAGAGTACAGTAGAGTAGAGTACAGCAGTACAGCAGAGTAGAGTAGAGTAGAGTAGAGTAGAGTAGAGTAGAGTAGAGTAGAGTACAGTAGAGTACAGTAGAGTACAGTAGAGTGAGGTAGAGTAGAGTAAAGGTAGAGTACAGTAGAGTAGAGGTAGAGTAGAGCACAGTACAGTACGGTAGAGTACAGTAGAGTACAGTAGAGTACAGTAGAGTAGAGCACAGTACAGTAGAGTACAGCACAGTACGGTAGAGTACAGTAGAGTGGAGTACAGTAGAGTACAGTAGAGTACAGTACAGTAGAGTACAGTAGTGTACAGTAGTGTACAGTAGAGTACAGCACAGTAGAGTAGAGTAGAGTAGAGTAGAGTAGAGTAGAGTACAGTAGAGTACAGTAGAGTACAGTAGAGTAGTATACAGTAGAGTACAGTAGAGTAGAGCACAGTACAGTAGAGTACAGCAGAGTGGAGTACAGTAGAGTAGAGTACAGTAGAGTACAGTACAGTACGGTAGAGTACAGTACGGTAGAGTACAGTAGAGTACAGTAGAGTAGAGTACAGTAGAGTAGAGTACAGCAGAGTAGAGTACAGTAGAGTACAGTAGAGTAGAGTAGAGTAGAGTACGGTAGAGTACAGTAGAGTACAGTGCAGTAGAGTACAGTAGAGTGGAGTAGAGTACAGTAGAGTACAGTAGAGTAGAGTACAGCACAGTAGAGTAGAGCACAGTATAGCACAGTAGAGTACAGTAGAGTAGAGTACAGTACAGTAGAGTAGAGTACAGTAGAGTACAGTAGAGTAGAGTACAGCAGAGTAGAGTACAGCAGAGTAGAGTAGAGTAGAGTAGAGTAGAGTACAGTAGAGTACAGTAGAGTAGAGTACAGTAGAGTAGAGGTAGAGTAGAGTAGAGGTAGAGTACAGTAGAGTAGAGGTAGAGTAGAGTACAGTAGAGTACAGTACAGTAGAGCACAGTAGAGTACAGTAGAGTACAGTAGAGCACAGTAGGGTAGAGTACAGTACAGTACGGTAGAGTACAGTACAGCACAGTAGAGTAGAGTAGAGTAGAGTACAGTAGAGCGAGGTAGAGTAGAGGTAGAGTACAGTAGAGTAGAGGTAGAGTAGAGTACAGTAGAGTACAGTAGAGTAGAGCACAGTAGAGTACAGTAGAGTACAGTAGAGCACAGTAGGGTAGAGTACAGTACAGTACGGTAGAGTACAGTACAGCACAGTAGAGTAGAGTAGAGTAGAGTACAGTAGAGTACAGTAGAGTAGTATACAGTAGAGTAGAGCACAGTACAGTAGAGTACAGTACAGTACGGTAGAGTACAGTAGAGTGGAGTACAGTAGAGTACAGTAGAGTACAGTACAGTAGAGTAGAGTACGGTAGAGTACAGTACAGTAGAGTACAGCACAGTACGGTAGAGTACAGTAGACTGGAGTAGAGTACAGTAGAGTAGAGTACAGTAGAGTACAGTAGAGTAGAGTACAGTAGAGTACAGTAGAGTACAGCGCAGTAGAGTACGGTAGAGTACAGTACAGTAGAGTACAGCACAGTAGAGTACGGTAGAGTACAGTACAGTAGAGTAGAGCACAGTAAAGTACAGTAGAGTACGGTAGAGTAGAGTACAGCACAGTAGAGTAGAGCACAGTATAGTACAGTAGAGTAGAGTACAGTAGAGTACAGTACAGTAGAGTGGAGTACAGTACGGTAGAGTACAGTAGAGTACAGTACAGTAGAGTACAGCACAGTAGAGTACAGTAGAGTACAGTAGAGTACAGTAGAGTACGGTAGGGTAGAGTACAGCACAGTAGAGTGGAGCACAGTATAGTACAGTAGAGTAGAGTACAGTAGAGTGGAGTACAGTACAGTAGAGTACAGTGTAGTAGAGTACAGCAGAGTGGAGTACAGCAGAGTAGAGTACAGCAGAGTAGAGTACAGCAGAGTAGAGTACAGCAGAGTAGAGTACAGCAGAGTAGAGTACAGCAGAGCAGAGTACAGCAGAGTACAGCAGAGTACAGCAGAGTACAGTAGAGTACAGTAGGGTAGAGTAGGGTAGAGTAGAGTAGAGTACAGTACAGTAGAGTACAGTAGGGTAGAGTAGAGTAGAGGTAGAGTAGAGTACAGTACAGTAGAGTAGAGTAGAGTAGACCTAAGGTCGCACAAGGGTTAAACGCTGCAAGACAAGAAGAGGCCAAGAACTGGCTCCTGTAATAATCACTGTAACCAGTGTCACATTTAATGCTGAACAATAATTATCAATCTAAGTTACTGGTAATTTCAACATTTACTTTGAAAATCAAAAGTTGCATTTGTTAATATTACTTAATAAACTATGAAGTAGCAAAAAAATTGCATTTTTATCAGTAACATAAACTGCTGTGTGTGCAGGAGGAGAAGGACGGTGAGCCGCCCAAGGACTCTCTGGACGATCTCTTCCCCAACGACGAGGAGGAACACACTCAAGGCAGTACGTGAACCCCCACACACACACCAGCGCTCGTCTCCCCTCACACACACCAGCGCTCGTCTCCCCTCACACACACCAGCACTCGTGCCCCCTCACACACACCAGCGCTCGTGTCCCCTCACACACACCAGTGCTCGTCTCCCCTCACACACACCAGCGCTCGTCTCCCCTCACACACACCAGCGCTCGTGTCCCCTCACACACACCAGCGCTCGTGTCCCCTCACACACACCAGCGCTCGTGTCCCCTCACACACACCAGCGCTCGTCTCCCCTCACACACACCAGCGCTCGTGTCCCCTCACACACACCAGCGCTCGTGTCCCCTCACACACACCAGCGCTCGTGCCCCCTCACACACACCAGCGCTCGTGCCCCCTCACACACACCAGCGCTCGTCTCCCCTCACACACACCAGCGCTCGTGCCCCCTCACACACACCAGCGCTCGTGCCCCCTCACACACACCAGCGCTCGTCTCCCCTCACACACACCAGCGCTCGTGTCCCCTCACACACACCAGCGCTCGTGCCCCCTCACACACACCAGCGCTCGTCTCCCCTCACACACACCAGCGCTCGTCTCCCCTCACACACACCAGCGCTCGTGCCCCCTCACACACACCAGCGCTCGTCTCCCCTCACACACACCAGCGCTCGTGCCCCCTCACACACACCAGCGCTCGTGCCCCCTCACACACACCAGCGCTCGTCTCCCCTCACACACACCAGCGCTCGTGTCCCCTCACACACACCAGCGCTCGTGTCCCCTCACACACACCAGCGCTCGTGTCCCCTCACACACACCAGCGCTCGTGTCCCCACACACACACCAGCGCTCGTCTCCCCTCACACACACCAGCGCTCGTCTCCCCTCACACACACCAGCGCTCGTCTCCCCTCACACACACCAGCGCTTGTGTCCCGTCACACACACACCAGCGCTCGTGCCCCCTCACACACACCAGCGCTCGTGTCCCCTCACACACACCAGTGCTCGTCTCCCCTCACACACACCAGCGCTCGTGTCCCGTCACACACACACCAGCGCTCGTGCCCCCTCACACACACCAGCGCTCGTGTCCCCTCACACACACCAGCGCTCGTGTCCCCTCACACACACCAGTGCTCGTCTCCCCTCACACACACCAGCGCTCGTGTCCCCTCACACACACCAGCGCTCGTGTCCCCTCACACACACCAGTGCTCGTCTCCCCTCACACACACCAGCGCTCGTCTCCCCTCACACACACCAGCGCTCGTGTCCCGTCACACACACACCAGCGCTCGTGCCCCCTCACACACACCAGCGCTCGTGTCCCCTCACACACACACCAGCGCTCGTCTCCCCTCACACACACCAGCGCTCGTGTCCCGTCACACACACCAGCGCTCGTGTCCCCTGACCTCTGTAACCCTGTGACCCCTGACCTGTGTAAGCCTGTGACCCCTGACCTCTGTAAGCCCGTTACCCCTGACCTCTGTAAGCCTGTTACCCCTGACCTCTGTAAGCCCGTTACCCCTGACCTCTGTAATCCTGTGACCCCTGACCTCTGTAAGCCCGTGAGCCCTGACCTCTGTAAGCCTGTGACCCCTGACCTCTAAGCCTGTGACCCCTGACCTCTGTAAGCCCGTTACCCCTGACCTCTAAGCCTGTGACCCCTGACCTCTGTAAGCCCGTTACCCCTGACCTCTGTAAGCCTGTGACCCCTGACCTCTGTAATCCCATGACCCCTGACCTCTGTAAGCCCGTTACCCCTGATCTCTGTAAGCCTGTGACCCCTGACCTCTGTAAGCCCGTTACCCCTGATCTCTGTAAGCCTGTGACCCCTGACCTCTGTAATCCCGTGACCCCTGACCTCTGTAATCCCGTGACCCCTGACCTCTGTAAGCCCATTACCCCTGACCTCTGTAAGCCTGTGACCCCTGACCTCTGTAATCCCGTGACCTCTGTAATCCTGTGACCCCTGGCCTCTGTAAGCCCGTGACCCCTGACCTCTGTAATCCCGTGACCCCTGACCTCTGTAATCCCGTGACCCCTGGCCTCTGTAAGCCCGTGACCCCTGACCTCTGTAATCCCGTGACCCCTGACCTCTGTAATCCCGTGACCCCTGACCTCTGTAATCCCGTGACCCCTGACCTCTGTAATCCCGTGACCCCTGACCTCTGTAAGCCCGTGACCCCTGACCTCTGTAAGCCCGTGACCCCTGACCTCTGTAAGCCTGTGACCCCTGACCTCTGTAAGCCTGTTACCCCTGACCTCTGTAAGCCCGTTACCCCTGACCTCTGTAATCCCGTGACCCCTGACCTCTGTAATCCCGTGACCCCTGACCTCTGTAATCCCGTGACCCCTGACCTCTGTAATCCCGTGACCCCTCTGTAATCCCGTGACCCCTGACCTCTGTAATCCCGTGACCCCTCTGTAATCCTGTGACCCCTGACCTCTCTAATCCTGTGACCCCTGACCTCTGTAAGCCCGTTACCCCTGACCTCTGTAAGCCTGTGACCCCTGACCTCTGTAATCCCCTGACCCCTGACCTCTGTAATCCCGTGACCCCTGACCTCTGTAATCCTGTGACCCCTGACCTCTGCAGGTCAGCACCAGCACAACAGCTCCGCAGTGGCAGCCGCGCAGCAGGGCGGATACGAGATCCCGGCGCGGCTCCGGACCCTCCACAACCTGGTGATCCAGTACGCGTCCCAGGGCCGCTACGAGGTGGCGGTGCCGCTCTGCAAACAGGCTCTGGAGGACCTGGAGAAAACCTCGGGACACGACCACCCCGACGTGGCCACCATGCTCAACATCCTGGCGCTGGTGTACAGGTGAGAGGCCCGGCCGAGACCCGCGTCAGAGCCGCATCAGAACCGCGTCTGATGACATCATCCTCTGTGTGTGTCTCAGGGATCAGAATAAGTATAAAGAGGCCGCGCACCTGCTGAACGACGCGCTCTCCATCCGAGAGAAGACCCTCGGGAAAGACCATCCCGCCGTAAGTCTTATAGCACTCTTCTTATACGCCATGTTCATCTCTTTAGTGTGTGATGGTGCTGTTTGAGCCGGGGAAGTTTCTATATTCAATTCACATTTATTTGTATAGCGCTTTTCACAACACACATCGTTTCAAAGCAGCTTTACAGAACATGCATGAGTCCACATTACAGTCTGCAGTGATCTGATTGACCTGGTTGAGTTAGTTAGTAGTGTGTTAAACTGGCGGTTATGGAAAGGGGCGGGGCTTTCCCAAACACACTCGAAGCGCTCGACCAATCACAACCCACTGCTCCAGTCGACCAATCAGAGCACAGTGTGCTTTTTAGGAGGAGGGGCTTCATAGAGACAGGAAGTAAACAGAGCGTTACTGACAGACTGGGAAGAGAGGAGCCGCAACAATGGAGAATATGAGGAAAATAATCAACATTCAAGTTCTAGCAGAGCCTGAAACATCATGGGCATAATAGGTCCCCTTTAACAATGATTTAATTGCATCAGGGATGGGCAACTTTGGTCATGGAGGGTTTTGCTCAGGGTCAGGTGTTGATGCGTGTGTATAAGTGTGTGGTCAGGTGTTGATCTGTGTGTGTGTGTGTGTGTGTTCCAGGTCGCAGCAACTCTGAATAATCTGGCTGTACTGTACGGGAAGAGAGGCAAGTATAAGGAGGCCGAGCCGCTGTGTAAACGAGCGCTGGAGATCCGAGAGAAGGTCAGTGAGCAACACACTCCTCAGCGCTCATACACACATCACTTATAATGGGGAATATCATATTCAGGGGCCTGTGGGATTAAAAGCAGCGCTCGTACAAGGGCTTGAAGTGCTTGAATTTTACTTTTTGACATTTAAGTCCTGGAAAACAGCCATATTTGTGAAAAGGTACTTGAAAAGTGCTTGAATTATTGAAAGACATTATATGTGAAATTAGTACGGCGTCTGTACGAACCCTGTAAAAGACTGAAGCCCCCTGCATTAGAGCACAGAATCAGTGACCTGTGTGTGTGTGTGTCAGGTGTTGGGGAAGGATCACCCTGACGTGGCGAAGCAGCTGAATAATCTGGCGCTGCTGTGTCAGAACCAGGGCAAGTATGAGGAGGTGGAGTATTATTACTGCCGGGCTCTGGAGATCTACGAGTGCCGGCTCGGGCCCGACGACCCCAACGTGGCCAAGACCAAGAACAACCTGGTGAGTGTGTGTCAAGCTGCAAACCAACAACAACCTGGTGAGTGTGTGTCAAGCTGCAAACCAACAACAACCTGGTGAGTGTGTGTCAAGCTGCAAACCAACAACAACCTGGTGAGTGTGTGTCAAGCTGCAGTTCTGCTGGTTTTATACAACGCCAGACGCTATCAAACACACACTCGATATTTGCATTTCCCTCATTATGCAAATGTGAGCAGACGTCAGTGAAGCGACGCTCCTCTTTGAAGGTGAAAGAGTAGCAGAACTCGAGAGCATGTAGATGTGAATTTGAGAACTTGTATAAAAAATATTCGTACTTGTATGCTAAAATCTACACTCAGACTTCAGATTCAGAATACAGGTTTGTGTCTATCGTCTGCGAGTGCGAATCTCAATATTCAACTTCAGATTTTTATTTTACAGGTTTTCACATTGGAGTTGTGAGTGTACATTTTAGCGGGCAAGTATGAATATTTATCTGTACAAGTTCTCAAGTTCACATCTACATGCTCTCGAGTTCTGCTACTCTTTTACCTACACACACACACACACACACTCGTCTCACAGTGAGTGCTCCTGGTCTCTCCGCAGGCGTCCTGCTTCCTGAAACAGGGCAAATATAAAGAAGCCGAGGTTCTGTATAAAGAGATTCTGACCCGCGCTCACGAGAAGGAGTTCGGATCGGTGGACGGTGAGACACACACACTCTCACACACACACACACACACACACACACACACACACACACACACACACACACACACACACACACACACACACACACACACACACACACACACACACACACACACACACACACACAGGCCCGCCCACAGAAATGACTGGGCCCCTGAAAAGGTCCAGTGAATGGGCCCTCCCCAAATCTGCAATAGGCTAGGCCTACTCATATCATGTGTGTGCTCTCTCTCGCTCGCTCTCCTACATTAACACATACAATTAACTGAGAGAGACTTACTCAGTGATGGGGTCTATAGTTACACACACACACACACACACACACACACACACAGGGCTCTCAAGTGTCACGCATTGAGCATGACAGTCACTCATTTCGGTATTTTGTCACGCACTCCCGCCACATATTGTATTTCTCACGCGGAAAAACGATTTATAATAGAATTTGCCGCAGCGCCCAAAATGTCTCTGGCCGCGACGCTCTCACTGGCTCTCACCCGGCAGGAATCAAGCGCGTCTCCCCTGTGTTGTTAGTCGAGCTACACAAAAGCCAATCAGAAAATAGCACTATTGTATCTGGGTACGATTTAACGCAACAACCAATGAAAAAAAAAAGAAAATTGTCATGAAACAACCCCATTCCCACAACCTGTCCAATATCTAATGGTGTGTTCACACCGAACGCGTATTTAATTATTTGCGCGAGTAGATTACATACAAAGTCAATGCAAAGACGCGAATAGACGCATCATTCGCGCCGGGCGTTGCGAATGACGCAAATTGGGCGGCACGTTTGCCGCGAACGTCTTCCGCGCAAGTTGAAAATTTTTGAACTC